TAAAATAAAGTTAATTTTTTTTATTATAGATGAACCCACATATCAAAATGTACCATCTTAAACATTTTAAGTATGTGGCTCATAGTGTTAATACTATTTAGTACAGTCATACTGCTGTACAGTGAACTATACAACTAATCTCCAGAACTTTATTCATCTTGAAATCTCTGATGTTTTTGCATTCAAGTTTTTTATGTAGGAAAAGAGTAGACAGCTTTCTTCTTGTTTAGTTAAATTTCAAAGTGTGGGAGGACTAATGACAGTCTTGAGGAGTAGAGTTTGACTCTCTAACTGGAAGCTAAAACTAGAGATAATGTTTGCTGCTTGCACAGGCCACTGTCCAGTGTCCCTGCCACTGCAGTGAACTGTACAGGTTTGCATGTCCAGCTCTTGATTGTTCCTTGTTCATGCTTTCTTCTCACTTCCAAAGGAAATGTCGCTGGACAGAATGTCTTTAAGTCAGAGCCACAACTATTTATAACTGGAGCAAATACTTAAAATTTGTAATGTGGAATTAACATGTAATGTGTTATGTTTTAAAATTCTTTTACAGAAAACAATCAATGCTGTAGTTGAATTCTTTCAGTCAAAGAAGGGGTTGGATCTTGAGCAAATTACATCAGCTACATTGATGAAGCTGGAAGAAATTAAAGAGAGAACAGCTACAGGTAAAATTTTGAGTGTCTGTGTAAGCACCAACTAAACTTTAAACATGTCCATTGTAATGTAAACACTGCATTTAAAATAGTCTAGGTTACTTTTTTATTTGTTCTTTTTAAAAATATTGATTATTTTTATTGTATGCATATGTATGTATTGCCTGCATGTATGTAAGTGTACCTGTGCCATGCAGTGTCCATAGAGGTCAGGAGAAGATATTGGAATCCCTGGAACTGGAGTTACATACAGTTGTTAGCTGCCATGTAGGTGATGGGAATTGAACCCTGGTCCTCTGCAAGAGCAGTCAGTGTTCTTAACCGCTGAGCCATTTCTCCAGCTTCTATGTTTATATGCTTTAAAATTGGAATGTGGATACGACTTACTCAAAGTTGAGTAAACTTACTAGACTGGATAGGAAAGAATAGAATAAAGAGTAAAGGGTGCTGATGATTCTGCCTGCAGTCATTCAAGAGCCTGTGCCTTGGAAGGTGTTTGAGGTGGAATTGTCCCTCCACCTCCATTCTTCAAAGTTGTTCACCACACTGTGTATGCTAGTTTTAAAGATAGGTGTTTTATGTAACATGGCCTCTGTACTCGAGCAAACTAATTTACTTGGTTGCTTAGCAAGGAAATATCATTCGATGCTCAGACAAAGTTCTGTTTATGCTGGATCTATTGTATTATGCTGTGATGTGATTTTCTATCAACTTTGTGCATTTTTTACTTTGCATACTGAGTCTAACTTTTGACAAGAACTGACATTCTCCTTCAATTAAACTTTTCCTGTAAAATTCTTAGTCTTATTAATAGTATGATCATATAGTTGTTTGACCAAATAATCTTTTTTTCCTTTGTTTTCTTTAGGACTTACACATATCATTGAAACTCGGAAAGTTCTTGATTTAAGGATAAATCTAAAGCCTTCTTATCTGATAATTCCACAGACAGGTTTTCACCGTGAAAAGTCAGATCTTCTCATTTTAGATTTTGGTACCTTTCAAGTAGGTATATGTGTACTTTTTCTTATCATCTTTTAACATTTGGTTACTAATCTGGTAGCTTGCTAATTTTTCCTAAGAATTCACTTAAACCTAACCTAGACTTATTTCATACATACTAATGGTTGTCTAGACAAACAAATACCTGCATGAATTTCTGTAATCGTAGGTAATTTGATACTGAAGACAAGATGGGTTATTTCAGTGTTTTCCTAAGAGGAGAGAAGCAATTTTACTGTTCATGCTTTGTAGAGTTTAATTTTATAGTGTCAATTTTTACTTACATATTTTGACAGTAGGAAGTTGTATACATATCAATGTGTATTTAACTGCTCTAAGTAACAAATTAGGGTAGGACCTTGGATTTTGCATATCACTGAGTCCAAGCCTCTGAAAAAAGGTCAAGATTTAAAAAAAAATCCTTCATTGATCCTTGATTCCATTTGGGAGGAGGAAAAGGAAGTAGAGGTTGGGCTGAATCCTAATGGTCTAAGCACTTTCATGATATGGTAAGGATACAATCCTGGTATTCAGGGTCAAGAGTTCAAGGTATACAGATGGGGAACTATATGCAACACCTCTTGAGAGTCATGAAGAGGGAATGTTGCCCTTCTAAACAACTCATTTGAGACAGCTAACCATGTGACTAGTTCAGTTAATGAAACTATGCACCATGCCTATTACTCAAACATAATAGAGAGGTGTGTTGAGATAATATTTTCCTGTTAAACTATTTACAAATCATCATCAGTGAATTAAGCAAAATGTGAACTCATTAAAGGCAGTCTTCTCACTTTTGTTGGGATTTTTGAAAAGGCGATTAAAGTATGTTGGTATATATACTTTTCTTTTGTGTTAAAAAACGAAGTTTTTGCTTTTTCTTTCATTGAATTCAGCTCAATAGTAAAGACCAAGGTGTACAGAAGACTACTAATTCATCTCTAGAAGAAATAATAGATAAGGCATATGACAAGTTTGATGTGGAAATAAAGAGTGTGCAGCTGCTCTTTGCAAAAGCAGGTAAGCCACTGTTCACCTATCAGGGTATTGACTTAGGTTGAGTAGCTTTGGTAATAAACCTGTATGTATTTGCTTCTGGGCATCATCTGTGGCAGCTGTTTTGCAAACATATACTGCTGGTTACTTTAATGAATTTTTTAAAAGCTTTTATGTGTATGAATGCTTTGCCTGCATGTGTGTAAGTGTACCATGTGTGTACAGTGCCTATAGAGGCCAGAAGGGAAGGTTGGATGCCCTGGAACTGGAGTTACAGATTGTTGTTAACTACCATGTGGATGCTGGGAACCAAACCCAGATCCTCTATAAGAATAGCCAGTGCTTCTGGAGAATGGCTGGGGGTGCCAACAACACAGTGGACAGTAACAGGGATTACAGAGTATATGGGCTCCAGTGTGTGTATGTGGGGGAGACTATGGGATGGTCCCATTTGGGATGTTGGTATATAGATGAATAAGATTGTTTTGGGCTGTTCTGTATGAAGAACACACAAAAAATCAATAAATTAAAAAAATGAATTATATTTGAGGAAGAAGCATAAAAATCTGCTCCATGTTAATTAGTAGAGGTGAAACATGTTATCATTGAAATCTACCTGATGACTTTATATCTATGCTCAGGTGGATCTCAGACACTAACTGACTGTGACTAGTAATAATCAGACACATAGAGATTAGAGAAGCATGTGCAAACATCTAAGTGTTAGTAGCATTAAAAATGAGCTTTTAAAAAGAAATGGGGATCTTTAATGGTTAAAAACATTCAATATTGTATGACTCAAAAACTCATTCAATTTTATGTCTTATAGGGTTTATATTGAGCTCAATATTGTATAACTGTATTAATTCAACTCTGAACCTAAAAATTTACAGCTAATACTGAAAGAGATGCATCTTTGCTCTGGAAATTGTTATTGACTGTGTTAATGCTGTAATGAAATGCTTCTTCTAATCATGTGGTTATTAAACAAATAATAAAAAATAAATAAAATTAAAAAGAATAACTAGTGCTCTTAACCACTGAGCCATCTCTTTTGTCCTGCTTGCCACCTTAGAAAACTCAGTAGGAACTATCTAGTGCAGATCATCATCACAGCTGTAACAGAGTCAGCACTCAGCTCTTCAGTGTAGAGAGCCCAGCACCATTTAAATCTAAGCTTGTTCATGGTCTGTATCTTTGTAATGTGACTGTGAAATGGCTGACAGCACAAAGTGGAGATTACAGTTGGTTCAAGGTTTTCTTTTTCTTTTTTTTTTTTGAGACAGGGTCTCCCTGTAGCCACAGGTGGCCTGGATTCACCGTGGAGACCAGGCTGGCCTTGAACACAGAGATCCTACTGCCTCTGCCTCCCTAGTGCAGGGACTAAAGGCATGCGCCACCACTCCCCATGGTTCAAGTTTTTCTGTCTGCATTTGGAATGTTCCAATGTTTTCTCTTACTCCCTTCGTTAGTAAATATTTACTCTTTTAGTGTAATCTTTATGTTTGCATTGTTTTATCTGTTTTTGTTAAAGTCTGAGAAACATATATACCTAAAAAAAATTACAGATAAACTTCTCTAATAAAAAATCCTAAATTTGAAATATTCTGAAACATTTTGAATGCTAATATGATGCCACAAGTAAAAAATTCTACAGTTGATCTCATGTGCTGGATCACAGTCAAAACACAGACTCACCAGAGATACTGTATAAATTTAAAAATATGTGAGTGGGGTACATATGAGGCGCAAATGGATTTTGTGTTTAGAGTTAGGTTCCATCCTCAAGATATTTCACTATACATATATAGATACTCTCTAATTGAAAACCCAAGACATTTTTTCTGGTCTAAAAGCATTTTCGGGATAGTGATACTCATTCTGTAAATATACGTGAAAAACATTCAAAATAACTTATTTTTTCAAAGTCTTGGTGTTTTCTGTTGCTTAAGTACAGCTTCTTGGTCCATTATCTTCCTTTAGTTACCTGAAGCAGTAAGCATCGATTAAATGTTTTTGTGGTAGGTCACCCGAGAACATAATCACAGGCAGAGGTCACATTCTAATAGAAGTGACAAAATGTATTTAAATGTTAAGATAAAATATTCTACTTAGGTTTTGTATATTAAGAGCCTTGAGTCCTTAAAGCACAGTACTTACACAGATCATAAAAACTGTCTTTTCTTTTGTATGTACTTACAAATAATGATTTGAAAGACAAACTCTTTAGTCCTTGTATAAATAAAGGTTCGTATGGCACTCTCTTAGGCACTTGATAAATCTGATCTTTTTGGGGAACAATAGTGACTGTTACACAAATTGACATTAAGTCTTGTTTGATAAAATTCATTTTCTGCTTTGGAATTTTGTGCTAAGCAGGTATCCATATAATTTGTGTGTTTATGAATCAGAAACCTCTAGCTTCTTCTTTTTGTTTTTTTCTTTTTCTTTTTCTCTTTACCTTAATTACTTTGATCACTAATCCTAGAATCACAGTAGTAAATTCCTGGCTTTTAGTCCCTGCTTGTTTTGAAGGGCTGGATGTTACCATATTTATATTCTCCAAGTATTTTTATTTTATTCTTTGACTTCTGTCAATCTATATTAAAATGCAGATTATTTAACTCATTATGAAAGAGGTAAAAGTTGGTGGTAATTGAATTTGTATGTATTTTCTAGCAGTATAAAGTGGTTTTTCTCCAACTATCCAAAACATTACCTAATATTTTAAATTATTTTTTTTAAAGAGGAAAATTGGAAAAAGTGTCGATTCCAGCATCCATCAACCATGCATATCTTGCGGCCCATGGATATTCACGTTGAATTGGCCAAGGCAATGGTAGAGAAGGATGTTAGAATGGCCAGGTAACTTATGAGCATCTTTCGTATTAGAAACCAGCAAGAGAACCTGTATCTGTGTCAGTCTGGAAAAGAGTTTCAACAGTTTTGTTTGGTTTATTTCAGTATGACAAATGTAAGGTTCATTCATATTTTTGGCTGAATATTGTGTCAGTAGATCCTTCACACCCTTAATGAGGTGGATGTTAGCCAGCCCTGCCTGACCATATAAATGTCACTTGGTGATAATGTGTTCTTTTAAAATTGTTGTTGAACTTGGCTTGCAAAAATTTTGTAACAAAGTTTTATATCTGTGTTCATGAGAGCTCTGCTGTTCTGGTGTTGATGTAGTTTTGTGCTGGCCATTTGATAGATAGGTAGAATTCTGTGTTAGGTGGCTGTCACCAGTAAAATGATCTAGGCCTAGAAATTTCCATTAGAGAGGATTTAAAAAGTTCCACTTCACTCATATATATATATACATATATTTAGAAATTATCATTTGAATGATCTTTTTATGTGTTTTAAGTATTTTATATTTGAATTTGTTCATCTTGGCTGTTCAGTTTGTTAAGATTGCGCATGTAGTTATTTACCTCATAATGCACTAAGAACTTGTAGTGATGTTAACTTTTCATTGCTAATACAAGCAGTTTGTGCTCCCCTGCCTTTTCTTGAGCAGTAGACTAGAGGTTTATCAGTTTAGTTGATCGTCTGAAAGAGCCAGCCCGGCTTAAAGATCTTTTTTCTGATAGAGACTAATTTAGTACTATTATTTTCACCTAAGTACTTTTCTACTGTACCCTTGTAACCCATTTAGGGTTAGACATCTTTCACCTTGAGTTGCTCATGGCTTAGGAAGGCAGAGGTAAGCAAAATTGCTTTGTGAGCAGCCAAAAGCCGTGACACAATTATGTAGTTACATGGAGAAAGGAAGATGGATAGAGCAACTGACCTAAAGCAAGCCAGTGATAAAAGCAGACCAGTGACTCAGCAACGAAACAGATGACCTCAGGGAGATTACACTTCAGCCTAGAGAGAGGAAATAAACTCCAGTGCTTGTGACATGTCAGGTGCTTCTAAGTGCTACATGTAAAAACAGTACAGTAAGTCAGGGAGATGGAATGTGATGGCCTAGGCACTCCATGATACCAGTAATGAGAGCTCTTTAGTGCCATGAATATAGTATGTATATGTGCTTGGTTTTAAAAAGTAGAGAATTGTATTTGGAAGGATTTTTATAAAAAATCAGTTAAAGTTTAACTGCTTAAGGAAGATACATTTAAATGGTCTAGAAACTTGGCTTACATTGAACTTCCCATTCCCTGACAATTCTGTATAAGTGGAATTAGGTCCAAGGAACCTCTGACTTCATGATGTAGCTAGCGTCTTCCCCAGTCACCCTGCCCCCATGATGTAGAGAAGCTGATGCCCTGACCTTACAGCCAAATTGTGTTTTTAGATTTAAAGTATCAGGAGGACTGCCTTTGATGCATGTGAGAATTTCTGACCAGAAGATAAAAGATGCACTATGTTTGATTAACAGTATACCTTTGCCACAGAAATCATCAGCTC